CACCTTTGATTCTTTTGTACTTGTAGTGGTGTTCGTGGTGCTGGTGGTGCTAATTTGATGGTTAGGTGATGATTGAGGTTTCGCACGAGGTTGAAAGAGAGCCATGAACGGATAGACGAAGAAAAACGAAAGGTTCAGAATAAATTCTGATATCCTGAAAAAGAAGAAGGGGTTGAATGATCGAATAATGAAAAATTGATCGCGTAAAAAAGAAGAAAAAAAATTTCGTTTCGTGGTTTGAAATAATTTTTTTTCTACTCACCTATTGCACACTCTGACAGACTTTTGACACGTATCTGGATGCACAGGTTGCCCTAATTCGTTAAATACAACGCTTCTTGATCTTAAATCTTTCTCATAATATCTCTCCATCTTGTCGGTATTGATCAAAGTGTCCAATCCCCAACGACTTACTGTCGGCAGGCATAAGCCAAACATCCATTTAAAGAAACCTAGTAAAAAATTCCCCTTTAATTCCCGTTTCTCGAAAGGGATCTCAAATTGCTTTCTAGATTACCTAGAAGAAGTAGAAATAACAGCAAAATGGTCAAAACAGAGCAAACAATTGTTATAACGTTAGGCCAAGAAATTGTCATAACACCGGGCCAAATCGTAGGCAAAATCGTAGGCTCTTCTGGAATTTTTGCAACCGGCTTCTTTTCTTGAAGACCGGCGACACGATAATCTTTAACCTTAACAGGCTTATGTCTTGTTTTTGTATCGTCCTGACATTTTTTATCGATTTTATCACTGACACACGTGCACTCGGAATTTTTCACGCAAGAGCAACGACTCGCTTTTCGTACATTTATCCTTCGTCGTGCCACCACCTCGTTGTAACGGTTCATAAGTATCGCTGGAAAAAAAGAAAAAGAAGAGAGGGGAAAAAAAAAAAAAAAAAGAAACGAAACGATGAAATCGTCAAAAAACGAAGGCAATTTCTTTTCTTCCAATGATTCTTCGTTCAGTTGTTGAACGAAGGGAACGAAATCTTGGGAAGGGAGAGAGGGAAGGGAAATCGACCAACGCGAGTTCTCACGACATTTACCGGAACAGGAGAATTCTTCTAAAGGGAGTTTGCCGTACAAATTCAGAATTATTTCATGATCATGATGGGGCGAGATAATCTTGGTCTCTTTCTCGACGTTCAACCACGATGGCGGAAGTCCTTGGGGACACTCCGTGATCCGGACTCGGTAAGAGGACGGAGATGGGCCTTTGTTGGTGATGAGCATTGTTATCACCGTGTTATCAATTTTAGTATTATCTATATGGACCTCGTTTATTTGACCAAGCGACCTGAAATTTAACGAACATCGTATTTCGAACAAACTTCGTTAAAACGTGAAAATTAATCGTATCGACCAAAATGATGTTTCAAAGGCAATACGATACGCAATGTAATCATTATATTTGCTTAGAATTCGTTACTATCCCAATCTCCAGCATCGCAGTTAGCTTGATCAATATTCGTCGTACGAAAGCGTGAAAAAAGCTAGCTGCAATGTCGAAAACGAAATTTCTACCGAACGAATGTTTCACGATCAAAACTCGTGTATGGCAGTGTTGCATAAATTCTTGAACGTATTATGTGCAACGGTAATAAAATGAACGCCATTATCCGGATACCGTTATCCACGAGAAATGTGTTTCTAGATCACATTCCGCCCGACACGTTGATCGTTTTTCTTTTCTTTCTTTCTTTCTTTCTTTCTTTTTTTTTTTCTTTTTTTAAGTTGTCGTAGAGCAGACAAACGAGTAGAATACGAAGGGGAAACGTATCCCCGAAAACGATCATCACCTCTCTGGAACTCACCCGGGTTTGAGAAGGCTATTGTAGTCCTCCCTGAGTTCGACGTCGATCACAGACACGTGCATCGAATGGTACTCCAGAGCGAGGAACTCGTGGCTTCCGGTTCCGTTCACATTGTACTTGATGGCTTCGCTCGGCACCCGGGCGAAATTGCTCAAGAAGTAGCAACCGGCCCGCCCAGACTTCCGTGCTTCCTACCACCACGTCACATTAGATCGAACGTGTAACGATTCGATAACACCCACCAGTTTACGGAAATGTTGCCGCCACCTCGGCAAATATTCGGCCCACCCATCCGTTCCTGATCCATTTATATAAATATAAGACGGCAGAGCTCTCGTACAGCTCTCGTCCAATTGATACGCACACAATCATGATATCGCGCAAATTGATCACGTAAAAATTAAAAAATTTTTCGTTTTATTCGCCATTCTCACCATTCGCTGTGCCGCTCTGCCCGGCATCGTCAAAGATAATTTTCACGCGTGCAATGCGTGCAACTTTTATCATCGGGATGGAATGTCGGTTTCGCGCAACAGTCGCATAGCGTTTCACATGCAATCATACGAATCATGTTTATTTAGATGAAATTACACGTACTTGGTATGCAGTTGCCACAATGAATTCACTCACGTATCACCGCCTCGCAGCTCGTATATAGCGTTTTACGAACGAACCCATTATTAAATACTTAATAAAATTACATTAGCGTAACAAGTGATGTACACGTTATGCGTGTGAAATGTGTCCCTCTTACATGTCACGTACACCACCGCCATTGCGAATTAGCAAACGTCGCCGGTTTAAATCTAATTTCACTTTCTCGACTCGGTATAATAATAATCGTGTGTAAACAGCAAATGTTCAATAATAATAATCGGTTACATTATTATCATTATTATCAAAGTGTAATCGATAATAACTCTAATTATCAATAATTATTAATAATAAAGGAATTGCATGGTGCATCGCAGGTAACCTATGGGAATTACCGTCCACAAAAAATATCCGTGCGATTGAAAATTATCGGGGGGAGAGAATAAAAGCACGGTGGACAGGTTGATCTCGCTATCGCTTCGTTTATTGCGCTTGTCATACGTACGATGTCGTGCCTCCAGTAGTCGAGTGGCTGATTTTTCAAACAGGTTCCACTGACATGCTCGCACCGATCCGGTTGGCCAGCGAATGCCGTGAATCCTACACCAGCTTTATCACACTCCTCTACATCCCCACTGATCTTGTTCGCTTCCACAACTAGGTATTCGCTTGACCATCCTATACAACGTATATCGAAACTTTCTCTTTTACATTATAATGGCTGATATAAGTTTTTGATCTTTTCGTTTACGATATTATTTTCAAAACCTTTAGCCTCTGAATACTTTGCTCTTTCCTCAGAAAGCTTCGATGGTACCAATAAGCGATCTCTCGTTGGATCCAAATTGTACTCGATGCCCGACGGCGATCTCATTTCGTTATACTTAAGAGCCACCGTATTTCCTTTATTTCGATAGTATTTATCGAAGGTACCCAATCTGATGAGATAAACGTCCTGTGTAGCGTGAATTTAGTGACTCCAAGATCTCAAACTTGCTTAATCGCTACGCTTCCGATTGAGCCTTACCTTATGATCGAACCGTTCGACAAATCCTTCCACAGGATCGATCCATCGGGCAACGTGTGTTTCACGTAGAGCCGTAGATCCACCTTGTGAACTATTATGGGCTCTTCCAATTGATACACCGAGTACCTGAAAAGTTTCGCGTCGTCGTGTTCGAAAAAAAAAAAAACGAAAAAGGAAAAGAAAGAAAAAGAAATCGAAAGAAAAGGAGGAAAACGTACCATAAATCGCTGAAGCGTAGACAATGAGCGGATTCTAAATATTTTAACGCGTCTACGTTAGGAGGATGCCTGCGATCCGAGCAATCTTGGCCGCCCCGAATTTGCCGCCGTTCCTTCGCCCTACTTTCGTCGTTCGCCGTTCCTTTCGCCGTGGTGCGCATATTTTTGCTCCTTTGTTCGCGCGGGGAAAATTTATCGCGATCCCTCCACTTGATTCCATAATCAAGATTCGACGGTTGAATCTGCTGCTCCTCCTCCTCCTCCTCCTCCTCCTTCTCCGCCTTCTCCACCCCCTCCCCCTCCTCCCCCTCGTCCGACAGCATAAGTAAGTTCCTCTTGAAAGGCCACTTGCTCTTTTTGTTGTTCTTCTTATTCCTATCCCCCTTCCCCTTCTTCCTTTTCCGCTTTCTTCGCCGCTTCTTTTTCACGTGCTTCGCATTCTTCTTCTTGCTACCGTGCTCCCCGTGTTCATTCGTCAACCGCGCGTTATCCACCACCGCGGTCTCCCTTTTTCCCAACTCGTTCGATTTATCTCCCGCGCAAACACCATTGTTCTTTTTCGACGTCCTCCTCCCCCCCTCGAGGCTCGACTCGAGGAATTGCGACTCGTCCACGCTCTTGCCCACGTCCCGCGGATAAGCCTCCTCCTTGAACGGGCCCGTCTCCTCTCGCACGCTCGCCAAATCGCCGATCCTCTCCACCTCCAGATCTATACTACCCTCCTCGCCATCCTCCAATTCGTCGTCCTCGCCCGCCTCGATCGTTCGCCTCCCAATCTTCCGTTTCGTGTCCCGTTTCAGATCCTCGCCCCTTATCACGGACTCGATTATCTCCTTGATCAAGTTGCGATCCTCCTTCGAGCTGTCCTCGTCCACCCCACCGGAGTACTCTTTGCTCTTGACGGAGCGCGGATTGTTCTTGGAGCGTGCCTCGTCCCCGAGCATGACCACGGTCTCGGTCGAGCCCAGGTCCTGGTATCCGGGAGCGGCGAATTGCTTCAAACTCCAGAACGTTCGATTGTTGGGAACGATGATAAATTTCTTCAGGTGTATTAGGGTACGGCCCGGCGCGTCGCTCGACGTCACGTTGTCCGTAACGAGTTTCTCCAATTTCTTCACGAATTCCGAAATGGCGAGCATGTTCTTCCTCTCTATCGACTGGTCGTTGGTGAAACCGTAATCGGGTTTCACCTTCTTGGCGGCCTCCGGCCTCCCCTTCTGCTTGGGAAAGCTCAATTCCGCCTTTATCACGGTCTCGTTCATACGCGATAATATGGTGGTGGTCGCCAGGGTCGTGCTCGTCGTTGGCGGCTTCGTCCTCGCCCGAGGGGTGGTGGTGGTCACCGTTTGAACGGTGGTGGTCACCGCTTGGACGGCCGGTCGACCGATCATGACCGGTCGGCAGATGGTGGTCGGTATGCACGTGGTCGTCTGGGCGACGGTCGTGGTCGTGGTGACGAAGGGGGTCGTGATTGGCGTTGCCTCGGTCGTGGTCAGGGTTGTCTCGGTCGTGGTCGTCGGCGTCGTGGTGGTCGGCTGACACGTGGTCGTCGTCGGCTCGCACGTGGTCGTCGTCCCTGGCTCAAACGTGGTCGTCATCCCCGTGATGTTCTTCAAATACGTGCGCTCCTCTTTCTCCGGATACGTGAGCTCCGCTTGCAGAACGGTCTCGTTCGCGCTGCTTATTATCGTGGTCGTCTCGACCGGTAACACCGTTCCCAACGCCGCCTTCTCCTGCTTCGTCTCCACCTCCATCGCGGCGGAGATGTTCTTAGGCGCCACGTGCTCCGGATAGGACAGCTCCGCCTGTATAACGGTCTCGTTCGTCTTGCTTATTATCGTGGTCGTCTCGATCGTGGGCGCCGAGACGTTTTTCGCCCGTTGCTCCTGCGCCCTGGTCGCGTTCATCGAGGCGGCCATTTTCACGTCGTGGATGCTTAGGTCGCCGTCCGACGCCAACACGCCGAGACGTTTGTCCGTGAACGTGATGTTTATGGGCAATTGGATGCTTATCGTGGTGAAGTTGGGCGCGAAACAACGCTCCGTCTGCTCCATGTTGCTCAGGCTGTCCTCTATAACGGCGTCGCGGCTCCCCAGGCTGTCCGGGTTGAGGAAAGAACTCTCGGGCAGGTCGGACAAGTCGAGGGAAACTTGGGGCAAATTGTCGAGGAACTCGTCGTTCACCTTCATCGATTCCTCGTCGCTCAACGCGATCTTGTTCA